CGTATTGAGAGAATAATATAGTAATCGAGTACAATAAACTCAGGGGAATACAATACCTCCAAAAGTTTAAAAGTTATTAGTTGTCACATACCTCTAACTTTTACTTATTTCCTAAACTCTCCTTGTTAATCTGCTTAATGCTATTGGTCTGCTTGCGTTTTATTTTTAAAGTTCAAGACTAAATAAGAAGATTTATTCTACAACTTTAAAGGTTAGTTGCCAGAGTTGCCTCCCTAAACGGACCCCCGCATCCTAATTCTTTTGTTAATCTACTTAATGTCATTAGACTTTCTGAAGTTTCTTATTTAAGTTCATTTGATGATTATGATATCTCATTAGTCTAATTTAATAAATTATTAAAAGCTCTAATTCACCTAATCAAGCATAACCCATGCTTTATGAAGTACCTGCACTTGTGCTTGTAATCTAAAATTAAACGTGTTTCAAGTATTTTTGATTTAAGCCTATACCTATTTAATATATCTTAGTTCGACCCAGGTAACACCTTCATGTGACTAAAATGCTTCATTTTGAAGTTAGTTTCCTAGATGATTTTTAAATGATATAGGGTATATGCTCCAACTATGCTCACACGTTTCCACTATGTCGCATCACAAAAATATGTATGGGTATGTCACAATACAATCACACCACAGAGGAAATCCCGAGCCATAGTTCAAACACTTATCCCAAATCAAAATGAAGTACATATAAGATTAATTACAATACCATGTACAAAAATGATGTTTAACATTGTTTCCTGAGTAATACTTCAATGAAAACAACAATGAAAGCTTGTCATGCAAATAGAAGGAGCACCGTTGGGCACTTTCTGAAATATTTTAATAGTATAATTCCCTTGCAAACCCAAATAAATCTATCTGCGTAAAAAAAAATAAGAGTGATTTGCGGCAAAACCCGCCAGTATCGCACCCAACGTCAGTGTCTATACGTAAGCGTACTACGACGCGGCTCTCAATCAAAGGAGTAACAAGTGTGATACTATCACTGCTAGACTAGATCTTTGGTTCTCTCATGCAGTGGTTTATCAGAGAGGGGAAGCTTAGTAATCCCCATTGCCTGCCCATGACGCCATTCTATCGCGGTATGAGCCAGCAACGCAGGCCATAAACCTACCGTCTCCAACAGTCCACTATAAAGCATGAAATTAAGCCCGCCCACCAACAGCAAGGTGCAAAAACTAGCCAAGGGGAGGGAACTAAAAGTTTATGTACATTATGCAATCAATTTGCATTTAATTATTGCTAGATATCACGTTTTTAAAGTTGGCGCACAGGTAAAAAGTGAAGTAACGTGACGCCACTGGATTTGCAGTGTACCAAAAACTGCTCAATAGATTTTGATTCAAAAACAAGTAAAAGCACTGTGGTTCTCAAGAAACATTGTTTGAGACATGCATACTACACTGCCCATGATAAAAAGTAGGCATAGAAAAAATGGCAGTTGAAGTCAAGAAGTTTCCGATTTCCATGTAAATATTTAAAAAAAAACAGTAAATTAATCGATAATTGTCAATTTAAAATCAGTTACCATGAAGCTTGCATATTTTTGTTTTATCAACGGAACAGCAGAACTACTGTAACTTGACTTCTGAATTGCTGACATGATTGAATGTCATGATAAGACTGATATGCGATTACTTTGCTTGATGGGACAAACTGACTTGACGTTGTTTTCATATTTTTCATGATCAAAGTCCTTATTTTTGTCACGTAATGCTAAAGTAGATGCCAATAAATTAATAATCATTAGTAGATTACTTGTGCTATTATTCTTGTATTGTATAAATAAAAAATAAATCATTTTTAAAATAGTGGATAACGTTATCTCAAAATTTACGAAAAGCTATGTGGGACTGATATGCGATTATAGGCAGTGCATTCAAATTTACCCACCTGTGCTGATTTTAGCCAAAAACCACTAAAACAACGTAGATTTAACTAAATTTCAAAAGGTTAGACAAAACAAAAACAACGCGTAACGTGACATTTTCGTCGCTCATGCAACTGAAAAAGACGTTTTTCTCAGCAAACGTCATAATAATCCATTAATGTTAGGGGGTTTTTAACGTGTGGTATATGGGGCATGAGCGGAGGCTGGTTAATTTATGGTATATCCCGTGTCTTCAGTTTAGTGCATGTCGTATTACCATAGAGCTAACTCTAAGACCAGAAGGTCTCGAAGAAACGTGCTCATCTTTTTGGCTCAGCTCTGGTACTCTCTTCGGTCCCAAGGATTCACCCCTCGAAACATAGGAAAATCCACTAACCCCTCATTTTATCTGTCAAACTTTCATAGCGAATCAAAACAAACATTGTGTTGTACTAGAATTTCGACTAGAATGGGGTACGTTAATCGTTTGCATGGGACCAATAGGCTAGTCAAGTAGTGAGCCAATTTAAAATCGTTAGTTTCGTATTGATTGTTGGTATTACTCCGTCACTATTGAGAAATGATCAAATACCTATTCGGATTTGATACAGTTGTCATTCTTGTTTTCATCATTAGGAACCGATTGTAATTGAAAGGTCCCGCTACTTATACCCACCGAAGAATTCAAACACCCTCCAAAAGCACATCCTTTTTTCAGTTAAAATCGGATTCATTAGCAACAAAATCAAACAATGACACCGATATTGAACCATTACAACCCTAGTCTTAACTACTTTAAACTAGAGATCAAGGAATAAAAGATTAGGAATCACATGCAAGGTAAGAAAAAAGTACCCAAAAGTAAGTTCTTTTCACTCATCTCGGCACTATAGTGCAGGAACCCAAAAGTAGGTAAAGCGGGTCAAAGTAGTTTTCATTTACTTGTGTGCAATTCGTATGGAATTATCCACTCGCTTTCTACCCAAAAGTAAGTTAGTTGTACCCAAAAGTATGTAAATATGATTATACTCAACGTTGGGTTCCCACACTTTTTTTTTCCTCTGTTCGGGACATAAAACCACTGCGACCAGTAATTTGATCTATTGTAGTATATCCCGTGTCCTTAGTTTAGTGCATGTCGTATTACTCCATCACTATTGAGAAATGATGAAGTATTCGGTTTTGATACAGTTGTCATTCTTGCCTTTATCGCAAGGAATCGATTCTAATTGAAAGGTCCCGCTATTTATACCCTTCGGAGTGTTGAAACACCCTCCAAAGGCGCGCCCCTTTGTCAGTCAAAATTGGATTCCTTAGCAAAAAAACAAGACATGACACCGATAATGACCATGCATCAAAACCCTAGTCTTAACCACTTCAAACTAGGAAACAACGAATAGAAGATTAGGAATCACATAGGTGAAGACTAACTAACTCATTTTTTCCTTGTTTCAAGATCATCCTCGGTCCACGCAACCCGAGGACTTATCACTATCAACAAGGCATAAAAAGTAACAAGGACTAAGATGTGTTCCTTTGATTACTGTAAAATCCTGTTCCCCTAGTTTGAAGTAGTCAAGACTAGGAATCGGTGGTAGATCTTACATCCCGTAACGTACCACGAAAAGGTGATGTACCCTTCGTTGGGTACTTTTTTCTTACCGAGTGGATGAGAAATAACTAACTCATTTTTTCCTTGTTTCAATATCATCCTCGGTAAAAACAAAACCCTCTAAGGCACTATTTACTAACAAGGCATAAACATAACAAGGACTAAAATGTGTGCCTTTCATTACATAAAAATAATCCTGTTCCCCTGGTTTGAAGTAGTTAGGACTAGGCATGCGTTCTTATAGACTTTGTTTTGTACTTTTTGAAATAAACTATCGTACCAAACGTATGATTGATTAGTCCACGTCCAAATCGAAATCACTGATATATGTTTTGACGTTTCTGCTCGATATGACGGGAATACGCGCTTATGCCGAAGTAGTGGATGAGCTCATTTTTTATGAGAAACCACCGTCACTGTTATCGATGATCAGCTTTTGGAACACCAACACCACACAGGAATCGGTTTAAAATCATTTCGGTATCACTTTCTTCCACATACACCAACGAAGAGGATGGTGATGATCGAAAGAAACTGTAAACCTGCCAACGCTGCAGCATCTGCTGTCTATCATTACCAGTCTCGACCGCGCCACACTACCTTCATCATCTCTGCCCTGCCTCGTCAAATCGTGGCGTTTTGCCTCCAGATATTGAACCCATTTTCGCGCTATCATCGAACAATAATTATTAGAGCGATTATTCTCCATTCAAAATATACAAATACACGAGGGCAAAACAAGCACTTGTTCGCAAACAGTCAGACACAAATATAAACACCAGAAATTGTCAAGAGATAGGTACCTATTTTGTTGCAACTGTGCCAAATAGAAATAAAAAAAAAACACAAATTGTCGACGAATTCCTTCACCCAGAGCCTTGTCCTTCCCTTCGTTCGTCGGTCGTGAGCAAGAATTTAGTAATTTCCGGGAGTCACACACGCATCACTCGGGCAGCGCACCACCGACCGAGGCAAGGGATCCAACCCCGAAGTGACGTCGGAACGGTTTTACGCAAAAATAGAAAAGAGGAAAGAGCTTTCTCGCTGCGCCAAGAAGCGAGAATATTTTTTTTTACTCTGGCTTGCACGGTGGATGATTGTTTCTTTTTGGTCTTGCTCATCAAGTTTAGTACTTCTTTTTTTTCTGCAAATACACCAGACCGTCATCGTCGTGTTCCGCTGAAGGACGAATTACATGAGAGTTCAAATCTATTGCCACAGACAAGGAAAAAAGGGACAACAAAATAGAGATGGAATGAAGGAAAACCCTGCACTTTACGATTGCTCTGCTGCACTTCCACTCCATGAACGTATCAGAAATCTATTTTCCGCATTCACAGCGACATGAATGAATAGGAATAGGCGGAGTACTTTTTTTTTCATTCGTGTGTGTATGTTCCGGAATTTCTGCCGATTTCCAAATTTAGAATCCCAACCCACAACTGCAGTCTAAAGGAAAACAAATCCCTAAACGGAGTAATATTCGGCCCATTACCTTATCACACAGGGTTTTCACTTGGGTTTCGGTCAATTGTTTGCACTCGTTCAATTGTTCGATCCACTGGTCCAAATCTTTGAGTGTCGCCTTGTCCTCCATCCTTTTTTTTCGCTGCTGCTCCTACTCGGCTAGGTCTGCTGCTGCTACTACTGGTCGGTGTGGGTGCTGATTAGCCAAATTCTACTGCCTTTACCAACCAATCACACACGGATAACGGGCATTCACTGGCAAACTCGTAGCGCGGGGACCGTTCCGGTACGGTTACAACCGGATTCGCACACGGAAAAATCGAACAAAATCACTACCGAGTCAAACTTCCGAACGGACTTCCAATCGCAAGCACACTTCTAACAAAATGGCCGCGACGTTGTGGAAAATCGATGACGGACGTTTTGAACTAGACTGGTCGAATGTCGACACGATTTCGCTCCCGTCTTGCGTAAGCTGTCAAAAAATACACCGATCTATGTCGACTCCCCGAGCCCGTTGTATTATTTTTCTTCCACTTCTTTCTTCCTTTTTCGAAATCTGACAGTTTGTTGTCTTCACTTCGCTTTAGATTTTTCACGCACACTTTCTTCTTCTTGTATGGACTTGATTTTTATCTTCAATTTTAATGATTTTCTTCGAGCAATTTGATGCCCTCCCTTTCATCCGAAAATCACGTGCCAAATGGGTTCAATCTAACGAACACGGATCGCTTTATTTTTATTTCAGCAACAATTTGCGCTAACACCTACACACCGCAGTTGCACAAAATCATTTATACGCCCTTATTCCACCTGTAAAAAGATGGACGGTTGTAGTGAAAAGAGTTGATAAGATACCAGGCAGAAAAGAACCTGCTGACGTAAATACAAACACAAGCGATGTACGCACCTTTTCAGGACATACAGCTGATAACGATTTAAAACTGGAGTATGATTAATAAATCGAATTTTTTCCCACCGAATTTGAACCGGGATTACACTATAGATGTTACCGGTTCGAAGACCTTACAAAGAATGAAAATGAAAATGATTGAAACAGCGCAAAGGCAAGCAGAAAATCTTCACCCACCAACACGAACAACCAAATCAAAATTCAATGCTCTGCATGTTGAAGATTTTGAAACACAAAAATGAGTCAACCAAAAATCAACATGATCAATTTCACGTGCGCCAGAAGTAGGAAAATATATATTAGCATACCTACAAAGGTAATAGGAAACAGATTATTGTTGTAAACATTTTATAAACGTTGCATCATTTTTTTACAAAACATTAAAATAATAATTATTAGTCAAGATCAACAATTAAAAAGGCCTCATAAGCTTTTGTAAACAAACTTCTTGCGGCCTCTTCTCGCGAATCGGAGCTCACCTTTGCAAACCCGTACAATATCAGAATATTATTCTGATTTTGACCGTTCTGACGTTTATAACACGCACACTTGCGTAATCCCATTTTGAAGCGCGAAGTTTGTTATCCTCATTTTCGCTACAGCTAAAAAAGTTTATTTATTATTGTTATCCTCACTTTCGGACCATCAATACTCGTGCGCATAGAATGGACTTACTGGGTTTTGCAAAGGTGAGCTCCGATTATTATTCGCTATATTTAATTTTATATTGAGATTGCTGACGTTTATCGTACGCACACTAAACGAGCTCCGATTCCCCAAGAATCAGAGAGAGGAAAGCACACGCTTTTTCAAAACAACTTAAATTTGGGTAGAATCCACCCAAATCGGTCAAAACTGAACCTACCCAAAAATGGGTAAACTGTGTTCGGAGTTACAAGTTGACAAATGAACAACATCGACATGAATCCGATCGACGTTGTTAATTTGTCAACTTGTCAATCCCAACATAGTTTACCCATTTGGGGTAGGTTCAGTATTGACAGATCTGGGTGGATTCTACCCAAATTTGGGTAGTTTAGAAATAGCGTGCAGATCGTGATTTATTGTTGTTAGTAAACCAAAGAATCAACATAAACGCAATTAGTGACGTCACTAATTGCTTGTATCGTTTTCGTATTTATGTGGTTTCACTCACACAGCTTAACCGATTGCTTCACCTCGGTAATCCAGCTAATTCACGCTTAACATTTGAAAAGAGCCTATCCTCGTTGATCGATTCTCTTCATCGACTGGTTTACCGTGCACGGCAACATAAACGAATTCAAGAGCAAATTTTCATTACGTCGAATGTAACAAAGGTAAACAAAGTCGAGCTATCAGTGTCAATCGATTCTCCTGCTATTACACTAATACTGTCCGAATATAGGATCAAATCCCATTTTTAAAATTATTTACCAGTCAAATTGCTTTTTGACGTAATCACCTTCCGATCAAAATAGTTTTCGATGTTACTTAAGTCACCCAATTTCTATGGAGATGCCGTTTGACTTAAGTACACAGCAAAAAAAGTTGTTGAATATTACATCGAAACTGCTGCAACCAGGTCAATCCATCGGCTGTGTAATATCACATTGTACGATGTACATCGATTTTGCGAACAAAATTACATCCATTGATGTAATATTGCATCTGCTTTTTGCTATTACATCATTATTTCAGTGCTAACATTTGAAAACGGCGCAAAAGCCATTTGTAAACAAATGGTTTGTGGGCCCTTTACTCGCTACCCGAAGAACGCCCACGCAAACCAACAGCATCGTCAGGAAGGGGAAAATTTCCCCTACCCGATGTTGCTGTTGTGTCGCGTGGGTGTACTTCAAGTAGTGAGTAAAGGGCCCACAAACCATTTGTTTACAAATGGCTTTTGTGCCGTTTTCAAATGTTAGCACTGATTTCATACATCAGCTTGAATTACGTTGATCGATATTACATTTTTTTTTGCTGTGTAACAGCGCTGAGAAACCCGTGAAAAGTGTACGTTCGTCGTTTCGCTTTCTCATTATTAAAGTGAATAAATCGAACTGTTTGTTGCTAAGATGATTTCGGTGGTCCTAAAATGATGAATGGGCTGCACGTAAGGAGACGTAATTGATAATTCTCCCGAATATCCTGGTAAATACACTTTGACTTAAGTAACAATAGGGGCCACCAAACGACGTATAATAACTTTTGACTCAAAAACCAGTATTTTTTAGCATGAAAGCTAGCGATTTGCATTTGTATGATTAAAACCCTGCTAAATATGTTAAACATTGCTATCACTATGAGATTATATGTGTTTACTTGGAAATAGGAATAAGTTTTCGGTCATCAAAACAAAACTTTATTTTTCTCGGATTGGTGCGAATGTTACTTACGACATAATGAAAATTTGCTCTTGAATTTCTCGCAAAGCTCGCAGCACAGTTCGACAGAAGATGATGCTATAGCTTGCGCCTAAAAAACATACTCAACACGCTAACTTGAAAGTACTCATTAATGAGTAAAAAAAGACCCATTTTGAAGAAAAGTGGCTTAACTCATTAATGATTAAACAATGAGTATCTGTTACCCATTAATGATTAACAATTTTCTCTTTGCATTGCTGCAGCTAGGAGAAACAATTTTCTAAAATTTGTTCAATGTAGAGTTGTAACAGATTGTATTGGCTATCAAAAGCAACAGCAAACGCACCGAGAAACGTTAAATCTAGCGAGTTATTAACAAAAGAGAAAATCGACGAAGAGAATCAATCATCGCGCCCTTATGCATGCTCGTAAAAAAAAATCCAATAAAAATATAATGATTTTCATTGTCATTGTAACCATGATATTTATTGTCAAAACATTGGACATTTTTGTCCATTACCATAAAATCACAACGAAATTCATGGTTCACAACCAGGGTTGCTTCCACTCACTTGCTATAAAAAGATGTTTTTCGGAATTGTGCAATCAGTAGATGTTATAATGGTATGTTGTACTTTTAAGTAACAGGAAGAGGGTGTAAAGTATGTGTATGACACATAAAACCTGTCAATTTCGCTTCCAGAGCGTCTCAATCGGCGATCTTATGATTCGTGAGCGTTCACTCTGAGTGAGCGTTCACTCTGAGTGAGCGCTCACGAGTCGTAAAATCGCTGATTGTGACGTTCTGGAAGCAATAATGACAGCTTTTATGTGTCAAACATATACTTCATGACCTCTTCTTGTAACTTACAAGTACTAATGGGCATTATACTATTTCATGATTTCATAATTCCCACAAACATCTTTTTATACACGGACAGAAAATTGTTTGCATTGAACCAAACAAAACTTAAGTTGTATTTAAACAAACAATTCCGGTTGAAATTATATTGCATTTTATTGTTTCTATAAAACTTATTCAAATAAACTCAACATAAGATTCTTTTTGTTTTAATAAGCCACTTTTCAATTGCAACTATTGTAAAAATAACAATATTCTATTATTAAGCCAACAATAGTTAATTTTAATTTAGCATTTATTTGCTGTGTCCATTCCCTGGGCCATGAATACAAAAATAACTACCAACCATTCCCTCGTTTTCACCCGGACAAAAATGTAAACAATAACAAAAATTTTCTCATTTGATTAAGTATTGTTTTTAATTGTGAATTTCGGGAAATAAGTACGAGATTTCCGAAAATCTTAAGACTTGAGGTAAGCAAGTAAGCTGCAGTTCAAGCTGCAGTTGTTAAATATAATCAATTTTTAAGTTTTTTTTTCCTTGATTTTTTTCCGTCGATCTTGTGTTCCGTACTGAGTACCAATGCTCCCGACGCCAGGAATGCACCTCCCACACCTGGACCCTACATATCGACCCATCAACTCATGAACCGGTGACCAACGGCTTTACTTCCCTTCGGAAGGAAGGCGTGATCAGTGATTTTATGCCTCAAAAATTCAATTGCAATTCTGTTTGTTGTCACAAAAAAAAAAAAATCGACATTATTTTTGAATCAATAAACATATTGTTATTTCTACTGCGTGAATTGTCAGCCTTCATAAAATAAATTTGATTGAATCAACAAGAAATCTCTTTTAAAAACAAACATATTTTTCTTGTTGACCCAGCTGCCAAATTTGACAGCTTACGTCAAAACCATGAAAGCTCTTGTAAATTCGAAAAGATTTTCTCTTTGATTTAACAATCCATGGGTTTTAAGGGACAATAATGCTGGATTGTTGAAACAATAATGATTTCTTTTTGCAGCCAAAACAAAATGAAATTCTTATTGCATTTACGTCAAATATTATTACGTTTAAAATATTTTTTTCTGCGTGTAGCAAGTAAGTGGAAGCAACCCTGTTCACAACAATGAAAATCATGGTATTTGAGAAAATTACAGAAAAAAAGGGGGTTGTTAAGTATCTTAACAATATAAAAAAGTGATTTTTCCCGAACAAATTTGATCTCATCACACTAATTTTCGTTGGTTGAGCATTGTATCGTTAAAAATCGAAAACTATTTTTTCTCCCGTACAATAATTTAACAATAAATTTTAATGTACTCAAAATTCAACAGTAAAAATAGGTAAAAATCATTGTAATTTCGTTGTTTTATTATAATTATTTTTTTTTTCGGGTGCGCACTGTCGAATTGTCGATTCCCAAAATTGAGCAAATATACTATAGAGGAAGAATAGCGCTGGTATTCCCTTTGTTCCGATGTTGAATAATACCGGGTACATAACTGGAAA